TTTAAAATTCTTAAATTCGAATTTTGCCAACAGATACAAACTGGCAGGAATTGGAGAGAAATTCCACTTAACTTAACTTATGAAATTGTTATTAGAAATAAATTTTGTAAGAATATTTGTTATAGAATAGCAAAAAAAAGTGATTCAAATTTCCACCATTATTATGATTATTACCTTTCAATTATGATTGGATACCAATAAAATAAATGATTGGATTTAATCTTTTCCGGTTGAGATTAAAGAAACAATAATCAGAAGAAAACAATATAAAATCTTGCATTTTTTTAGCACTTTAGCTTTTTCGTGGATTTCATTGTATTGTTTAGTCAAAAAAAAAAAAGAATTTGCATAAAACATAAAATAGATATTTTTTTCATTTATTTTAAAAATCGGTTCATATAATACGATTGAGTACATTAAGAAGGCTTATTAAACATTACGCAGATATTAACCATAGCTATCCATATATTACATTCTTTCTTTACGGGAGTTCTTTTGGACAGTGCATGTATACTCTCACCAAAAATTTTTCTATTTCCAATTTTTTCATTGAATAGAAATTTTCCTATAGGAATCATAGACAGATAAGATATCCAGATTAGATATCGTTATCTGTGGAAAAATTTCATGTTCTAGGGTTTTTACATTAACTCATTAATCGTTGTTATAATTGAATGAGAAGAATTTTTTGTTATTTTGAAAAGAATCAATTACTTGATTTGGTTACGTATCCCAATTTTGATTTTTCTATATAATTATAGCATTAGGGAAAAATTAAAACCTATTTAAATTTTATTGTTGTATTACTTTTTTATTTTAATTATAAATCTTGAAGAATTTATTTCTTATACCATTAGAAAAAGACAAGTGAAGAAGAATCGTCCATAAATTTGCAGTCAATAGTTAATGGTTCCAATTTATTTGTCCTGAATTTTTACTTTTGTAACTGAGAATCCACATTTTCTTTTTCAATAGAAAAGAAAGGGAAAGTTTTTAGATATTGTGTGTCTTGAGATACTATAACCAATTGAAGGTATGGATCCGATCTAAAAATGAAAAAGAAAAGGGAGATACTCTCCTTTTTTTGTTTGTAACCTTTTGGCGACATGGCCGAGCGGTAAGGCGGGGGACTGCAAATCCCTTATTCCCCAGTTCAAATCCGGGTGTCGCCTGATCAACAAAAAACTCGAAATCCTAACGTCTCCTAACGTCTAGGATTCAAGGAAAAACTAAAGTAGTGGAAGGGAATCAGTAAATCTTGATATGGGAGCCCCCCTTACTAATGGAGTGGCTACTAGAGGAGTCTTGAATTAGATTGGATAACGGGAGTGTCTAATTAACTAATGAATGGTTGTAGAAGGGTTGGAAGATACTTTGTATACAGACGGATGAAAGTCTCTGAGTGTTC